GGGGGAGAGGGGCAGAGTCAAAACCGTGGTTTTAGAATGCACACATCAAACTCCTGCTCTTTAATCAGTGTGGTTTTTTGTCAAATGGAAGCTGAAGTGCTCAATCCTTGGAGGCATTCAGTGGCTCTGGGCAGCTTGATCTGTTGGTTGAAAATCGTGCCTGTGGCATGGGATTGCAGCTAGATTAGTTTTAAGGTCCTTTCCAGCCTAAACCATTCAGTGATTCTACGATTCTATAAGCTTGTTTTCCGCGATCCTGTTGAAAACCTGTCTGAACTGTCTATCATGAAATGGGGTAGTTTACTGCAGGAAATCTACATTCCCAATGCCTCCTGAAGACCTCTCTGCTGGTACTTTCCCCTCTGAGGGAATGATGCTGCCAGTCCCTGTAAGAGCAGAGGGAAGATGAAAGTGGATGTGAACATCTTCAGACTTGCTTCTCCCAAACTGCCCGAGGGCTTGAACAATTTCTATAATTGCACAGGGGACAAAATTATGTCACTTAGGGTGCATACATGGGAGCTGGCAGTGCTGCATATGAACAGAGATTTCAAACTTATTAGTACAGTGGTCCTCCCCATTCTCCTTCACAGGTGACATAGACTATATATAATTCAAGTGTGAATTCGGAAGATCATGTTTCTTTTCTCCTTTTTGGTGACAGTCTGAAAGTCTTTGTTACTGCCTGTTTTCACCTTGAGGAAGTGAAGTTCATTACAGAATTCCTAGAGACAAAGCGTGGGGGTTGGACTCGATGATCTCTGGAGGTCCCTTCCAACCCCTACAATTCTGTGATTCTGTGATAATTGGTGATGTCTTGAAGTGATAGCAAGCCTCTTAGCCAGATAGAGCCTTCCTCTGCTAAGAGTCCTTTTGTCCTCTCTCAGCAGTTTATCTTCTCTGGCTGCTGTTAAAAACACATTTTCCCTTCTCTCTTACATAGCCCCAAGCAGACAGATTCATCTAGGCTAATGGAGGCGTGAAGTTAATGTATAGAGGAATCTTATTACCTCTAAGTTGTTTTTCTTTCAAAGCACTCACTTACCATGTCAGGATGTTCCTTTTCCCATCCTTTTTTCTTTTATTATTCACCCCCTGGGAAAGACTGGTTCATAGCAAGGAGTTGCCTTGGGGCACAAGAAGCATGCATGCTGCCTTTCGGCTGTGCTTGTTTGGTCAGTTGGCCATATGCTAGAAGTAGTTACCATAGAGTGACAGCAGGACTACAGGTGGTTAGGAGTAAAACCAATTAATATTTAGCAAGTGCTTTCATCTACGTGGTATTTAACTACACTGAGGACTGTACAGAAACTTTTGAAAAACAGAAGTCAGTTATAGGCATCTATGTCAAGAAAACAAGCCCCTGTAATTAATTGTTGAAATAAATTTATTTCTCTGCTAAAGCTGTTGTAGATGTTGCCAATGTTATTTTTATTATAATTCCCATAAACCTTGTGTTGCTTTAGACCTGAGAGTCCGTCTGGGGATCAATATGGTTTTGGGTATGTTACACATTTTTTAAAGATAAATGTACAAATTCATGATCACTTTCTGTTAAGCTACCCATCAGGGAGGAACTCTGGTCTACCTTGTGCTGGTGAGATCTCGGTTGGAGAGTGTCTGCATGTAAAGTCCTTTGTACAGGAGAGGTATGGACCCATTACAGCACTTCCAGAGGAGGGCCACAAAAATGATCCAAGGGATGGAACATCTCTGTTACGAGGACATTTTGAGAGAACTGGGGCAGTTCAGCCTGGATAAGAGAAGGCTTAGGGAAGACCTCAGCACAGCCTTTCGGTATCTAATGATGGGGGAGAGGGGGCAGTAAAAAAGAAAGGGAGAGTCTGTTTAGAAGGTTTGGTTGTGATAGGAAAGGGGGAAATTGCTTCAAACTAACAGATTTAGACTGGATGTAAGGAAACAGTTTTTACAATAAGGGTGGTGAAGCACTGGCACAGGTTGCCCAGAGAGGTGGTGGATGCCCCATCCCTGGATACATCTAAGATCAGGCTGGACCGGGCTCTGAGCAACCTGTTCTAGCTGTAGGTGTACTTGTTCATTGCAGGGGAGTTGGTCTAGATGACCTTTAACAGTCCCTGCAAATGATTTTATGATTTTATTATCACTAGCAGTGGCAATTCAATGCAGGAAAGGTACATCTTGCACTCCATTCTGAAAGTATTTTAGTTGCTGCATAATTGCACCTCATTACTGGCATTTGCTCCACGTGTAATGCATAAATAGAGGGAAAAGCAAGAAGTTAGCACTGGAAAAAAGACAGAAGCATTGCCCTTTGTAGTTCTCTGAAACTGCTCTGGCTCTGGTGCAGAACTCATGCATATTCCATTGCAAAAGTGGAGCTACCGGGAGTATGTGCTGCAGGAACTGGTGCCTGTCGTGAAAAGTATTGCTGACCTTGGGCACAGGTTGCTCCTGCTATGAAGCAGCAATAATTGGCTCCTGTCAACTATCAAACAGGGGATAATGGACACATCAAAATTTAGACCATACTGGCTGCTGACTCTGTGTTTGAAATCCTAAAATAGTTCCATAATGAGCGTGGTAGGGATCAAAACTTTATATTATGAACATGATCCCAGCTCTGTGCCCAAAATAATATCATTACCTGGTGAGGCTCCTCTCCAGATTCTCCTATGCCTCTGAAAAGTCCAAGCTGCAGAAAAAACAACATGCACAGAGAAGGGAGTAGCCTGAGTGCCCTAAAAGCATCAGTGGCCATAATATTACTTTTCTGGACATAGGAGTACAGGAAAATATAATTTTCCTAATTAAGCAAGATACAAATTAGATCCCAATGGAGTTTTCATTTACTCCTGTTTGGTAGCTTGCAGATGAGTTTTACCTTGAGGATCCTCTGTATCTGAAAAACGTAATATTAGATGTATTTTATTGCTCTACGCTGTCAGTGTAGCTGGCACAATAGCTGAGGGAAAAACTACATATGTTGAGTTTCCTCTACAGACCAAGATGTTATGCTCTTTCCTGACAGTTTCATAAGCAAGCCAGGTGTGATCCATTAGAAGTGGCACACAGTTGCCTGAAAAATCATTCTCATAAGGTTGCTTTCAGTATCTTACTGTTGGACTGAGACTGCTTCAAGGGACAATCTGTTAATTATTTCCATTACTGAGATGGAAAGGGTGAAGAACGTGTAGGAAGAGTGTGTATGAAAGAACTTTGGCTGCAAGAAATTGGAAATCAGAGTCAATTGATAAATACTGAAATGTTTTGAAATCAGCAAGATGAAATTAAGTTGTAACATCACAGTTAGGAATGAGAGATGAATTAAGCAATTGGAAATAAAGAATAACCAGTGCTGTTAGCGTAGCACTGTAAGAGAAGAGCATATCAAATTGCACTGGATCTCTGGCCGATTAGAAGAAAACAAAATTATGCATCTTTCTTCAAGGTACATTAGCTGGCCTGTTAGCTGTGAATTGTTAATTGGAAATATTTATTCTTTAGACAAAACTGATAGTACCTCTAGTACAGAAACTCTGTGCAGCTGCAGGTGTATCACTTCCTCAGAGATGGAGATAGAAAGAGAAGGACAGGCAAAGACCAAGAAGGTGGGGTGTTGTTCAGAAAATGAACAGTCAGAGGATGGGCAGTGCAGGTTCTCCTTATTTGGACAAGTTTTCCTTGTTTTCAGAAAGGATTTCTGGGAACCATTCAATCTCTACCTTTATACCCAGCATGTTACAGTATTGCTATAGCTCACTGGATCATGTGGATATTAACTTTCCAGGACTGTAACTCTGCAAACATTTCTTCTTTTCTGCTCTGAGGCAGAGATGCTTTCTCAGGCAAAGCAATAAGCCAAGTTCTGTGATGTGGCTGCTCTTACTCATGTCTCTCATTGAATGCCTGTGTGAATTTTTCTTTTGCTATATACAGAAAAAGTCCCATGAATTGTTCTACAAGTTTAAAAACAAAGAGTGAAGAAAGAAGAGCACAGGCAGAAAGTAGAATCGGACTTCTGATTTAATTACTCATGCACATGCATATATAGATGTGTATGCTACATTATTTATTGTTGTCTTTTTTTTATGTCCACAGGGCTACAGCTACTCATAGGGGCCAAGTTATATTCAAGGATGCCTTAGCGCAACAACTGTGTGAGCAGGGAGGTAAGAGCAGCCATTAATTTAAAAATATCTGGTAAATGTGGTTTTCCATTGTACTTGCATGCCAGTGTTACTCATCACAAAAGGAATTTGAGAAAATTATAGTCAGGACCTTCCCTGTATTCTCAAAACCAACTCTCTCTGTGGTTGCACATCTCTGATTATTGATCTGGGAAATCCAGAATTCTGTCCTGTCTGAACATTGAAGAATATGAAGTACATCTTATTGCTTTATACCATTAAATTCAGCTTATAACAACTGTCTTTGGTTTACTCTCAGCACCACAAGCTGAGTATTAACAATAGCTGCATTAGCAACAAGAAAAGAATGCAGCCTGCCTACAGCAAAAGCTTCATTTACCACCCTGCTCACGAGCAGCTTTGCGAAGAACCTTCCTTCCCTTTTTGTGAAAGGAGGCCATCATATTTTTGCCCTTCACCAACAACTTTTGATCATTTTTAAAGCAAAACAAAATGTTTGACTTACGCTGAAAATCTATTTGAAAATCTAATTGCGCAGCTTATCATATACAGGCTTTTGATGAATAACCTCAAAATAAGTGTCCTGTTAAGAGTTGTTGCCTACCAGCGATGCATGGCTTTGAATGTGGTTCATTAAAGCAGTGGGAAGTCCGGAAGGTATCCATCACTTCTGGTGACTACTTCCATAATCTCCATGGATAGGGGAGAAAGGAATATCTGTGTTGTGTGATTTCTATGATACAGTTTGCTCTGCAGAATTTCAGGGATATTTCCACATGAAGAGAGACATGGGCCAAATCAGTCTAAAATAAACATTTCAATATTACAAATTTGTTGTCATTTAAACAAACAAGTAAAATTAAAATACATACTTTTAGGCCTACTTAGTATTTCTTTTTCATATGAGCTTAGGAATATCTGTGCCATAGTTTTGTAGCAGGAAATTGTTGGACATTATTGAGAAGGATTTATTGAGGTGTGAATGAAGTATGAATTGTACCTCTGTGACAGTGAGGGCAAAACATTTCAGTTTTCAGTTCCAGCGTGTGAGTTTTCAGTATTTTAATATTTCAATGGGAAACAGGGGAATTCAGAGAGGTGACTGAAGATACCAGCTAACAAGCTCAGAAGTTAGAATTAAATATATTTTGAATAAATTAGAGCAGTGTGACACAGGTGTTGGCAATCAGAAGGGAGTGTGATAATGATCTGGATGGAAGGTGATTGGACACAGCAGGTATCAGTGTTTTACTGTGTGGAAGGAAAAATCTATGGTGAAATTACAAAAAAGTCTTTGGTATTCAGAACAGGAGATAAATTGTACAGGTGTCACGTTTTGTGGCTGGTATAAGGAGATTTGAGAAAAGGAGTCAGGAACGCCATTTGGGATGTGTTAAGGAGAATGGTGAGGATATGTCACATGGGCTACTTGCTGGATAGACATGAGAGTGAAAAAATTGATACAGTTATTAGCATAAAATTGTAAAAAGTCTCATACAGAGGTGAATTTCTCTATTGTTGCTGCGTAACAAGCCCAGTGCCAAAGGCAGAGCCTGCAGTGATCAGAACAGGAAAGGAAAGGACACGTTAAGTATGAGACATATTGAGGGAAGAGTGAGAGGGAGCCAGAGCACTGGCAGTTATCAGCACAATGAAAGCTATAGGCAAGCAAGACAAGAGGAAACATATAACCACCAGTATCAGAGCTGGTAGTGTGGTCAAGGAGAATATGGGCAAAGCAACAGGATTCCCCCTGACAGAAGAAAATACCTTGATAAGCAGAGAGTAGCGAGTGGAAATCAATCAGTACAGGTTTTGACAGTCCTTGTTTCTGAGATGCTATACAAGAAGTCTTTGCTAGCAGAGCTGGCAATGTACACTGTAATTTTTCCCTCTGCTGTTTTACACTTCCCCAATTTCAGAGCATAACTCAACCTTAAATCAACAATTTGACAATACTTGTGTGGATTAGAACAATAACTCCTGATGATACTACATGCAGTCTCAGAGCACTCAGGGACTCCACAGCATAAAGAGAAAATGGGATTTGTTTATTGGCTGTATGCAGGGAATGGAAGACAATGAGCTGTGCCAAACCTGGGCTTCACTGTGGCTATGCCTCTACCTTCTCCACTACACAAACACAGAGAATCATGTCCAGCACCATATCCCTCAAGAGGCCTCCAGCTTCCCCATCTTGTTGTCATCTCCCAAATCCTCAACAACTTCTGTGGTTTTTTTTCCGTAACGTTCCCACCAATTTTCTTTACTTTGTTCAAAGAGTACTAAATAACTGTGGATTTGTATTCTCCAGAATGTTTGAAAATATGGTGGTAACTCCACCACCATCAGGTTTGTCTTAATCAAGGGTCATCCCGAGGTGCAGTTTTATAAGCAGCCCACAGTCTATGGCAGCCATGAATAAGTTAATTCCTTTGAAATTCCAGCATGCCAGCTTCTCAGAGCTTTGGACAGATTTCTGTCCAGCTGCCAGTTTTCCTGACTCATCTGGTCAAAAGCTCTGTTGCCTGTTGTCCTTCCAGTCCTGTCCAGCACCAGGCTTCCCTCTGCCCTTTTTTTATTTCCTAAGCAGACAGTGTGCATTGCATTGGTCTTCCTTACCAGTGAGAACTATTACAACTCTTACACTATTAACATTGATTTTCCATTTTAAAGAAAAGATGCTTTCTTTGAAGCAAACCTCACTTTAACTCCATGCAGACAATCACAATCTCAGCAACACTGATAATATAAAGGATTATTTCAGAAAGAATTAGTGTGTTTATTTAGAAGTGAAGATAAAAATGCAAAACAGCAAGAAAGATTGACGGAAGTGGGGTTTTAAGGTCTGTTTCTGGCTCTAAGCATTACTTAACTGAAAGGCTGAAGTGAAAAATGTGCCACATAAAACCAAAGGGAAACTTTATAGATTTATTACACAACATTTTTATAATAATTATTCACCAGAGGTGATAGCAGCCTTCGTAATAACTAGTATAAAGGATATACATGAAGACATGAAACAAGCACAGAATCTCAGAAATCATGATTGCTGTGGCTGTCTACCCTTAGATGTGCATTAGTAAATCCTAATAGAGTTAATGGGATTTGTGCAGTGAAAAGGAAGTGTATTTCTTATTTGGAAGTGAATTAGAGGATGATAAAGGGTAGTGTTAAGGAATGGCAATGCCAAACCAACAGCCCTATGTATAATGTAAATGGAGTAAGGAAAGATGCCACAGGGAAAGACACAATCACTTGAAAAGCTATGTGTTCAGCGTACAATAAATATTTGAAGAAGCTAGAGAGATCTTTGAGAACTGATGTGTGCTTTAAAGTTTATATAAATCTTGAAGAAGATATTAAAGAGAAAAGGAAACATAAAAACAGACAAGAAAACAAAAAAATTTACAAGCCAAAACAGAAAATGTAGATGTGTTATAAATTCGGGCAAGGAAAAGTAAGAGTGTTAATGACTGATGATAGTTATCATCATTTTGATACCGTTAATAGTATCTTTAGCAATATATTTAACTTGTTATCTAATAGCAAAATGAGCAAAAAACAAGGTAACCTTACAGATTGGTAAGGTAAACTAGTACAGATTTATTCATATTTATTCTTGTCTTGGGTGGAATAAAAATCTTACACTAAAAAAACACTAGTGTAATTAAAATGGAGCTGGCTAAAGATGAGACCTGGCTGCACTGCGCTGTGGAACTTGGGAGACCATCAGCTCTGTATGAGAACAGCAGTGGTGTTGGAGAAAGAGCTCATGGTGCAGGGATGGAGGCAGTTGGCACCCCGACTGGTGTGAAAGGGCTAAGGGACTGTTGTCCCAGGTCCCTTTGTACCTTTGGGCTAGTAGTACAGTTCTTTGGCATAAAGACCACGCTGGGAGATTTGTGAGCATGTTACAGAATCATATCATAGAATGTCAGCTTGTCATTTAGTTCTGCCTGAGTGGAGGAGAATCAGAACCATAAAACTTATGGAAATGAAGAAGGGTATTGTTACTCCCTTCTAGTGCAGAAACACTTCTTTCAGCAAAATTCCCAGAATTGTATACAGTCTCGTATTCAACACCACTAATGGTAGAAGTGATATTCCTTTTGTAAGAAACCACTGCCTGCTCTGAGAGATGAATCCATGTGAAAGTAAATGATGAGAACTGGCCCAGGTTCCCTTTGATTTGATAGCTTCTGCCTGAATGTTTGCAGATCTTTTAGGCATGTTTTGTACCTTGTAAATATGGATTGAAGAACACTTTGAAAAACAAATATGAAACAGATTGCAGGGTCTCCGGCCTGACCAGAGTAGTACTTTACAGAAGAATGAAGTTCAAGGCTGACATATTGCTCCTTGGCTTATGTGTCAGCAAGAATGATGCAGCCCTCGGGCAACACGCTGACTCTCTCTAGAGGAATGCTCAGCCTCACCTCCAACAGCAACTTTGCTTACCAGTGGAGAGAAAGTATTGGCAAGATTCTAAACAAAAATATTTGGGTTTGGTTTTCTTTTTCATCTTCATCTGGCTGCTAATGAGGAGATTCGATATACACCTTTCTGCACCTTTCATTTATGATGAATTGCTGAGTGACATCTAATGGCTGCTGCTTGTTGAACTTGGTGTTTGATGCTTTTCTGGGACATTTGTGTTTCTGAAATTAGCTTTATATTGAAAATAATAAAGTCCAAAATTTAAAAAAAAAAAAAAGGTATTTAATTCGAAGGAGTTTTAGGAATGTTTTTGGAATATCTTCTTAAGCTATATTTCCTACCTATCCCTGTTCACTTGGTTGACCACACAGGTCTATGGAATATGTGCGTCAATGGTACAAACTGATGTAACTGGAACATATGTTTAATTTCTAATATGCTAGCTCTTCTTTTCAGGTTGAATATTCATTTTGCTTAATCATTAGCCATTATCATATTTCATTATTTTCGTTCTGATTTTTCCATTAGCATCAGGCTCAGCAACGAATCTTGTTTCCCTCCATATATACCAGCCCCTCTAGAGTGAGCTGACATTTCCTTGCAACTTCTTTCTTATTTTCCTCCCCTCTAGTTCATCCATACTAGGACATACTTTTGTATTATTTTAATTGTTGTTAACCTTTCATTAGCCTTACTTCATCCACAGAAAATGTTAACCTTTTACTCCAAAAGATGCCTTCATTCTCCCTCATTTTATGGACACAGAGCCCCACAATGACCCTATTGACTTTTGAATTCTCCAATACTTTGAGTTTCTCACGCTTCCAGTTTGACTGTGGCCTTTCTCTCTCTGAATCACTTTGTATTGTATACTGTATTGTATACTTTTTTTTCTATGCTTTCCTTACCAAAAAGATTGCCTCGCCTTACAAGGCAAGCATCCTACATTTCCTTACATTTTCTCGTATTGTATTTGTTCATGCCTCTTAGACTGTGAGCTCTATCGAGCTCAGTTTCCTTTCTTTACCCAGTACAATTCACCTCTTGTAAAGCTCTGTACATACCTTGGGTACTGGTTTAAAATCTAATAATAAATTCTTTTACTTTAAAATTTCTTAAAGGGAACAAATTCTCATTCAAGCTAATATACATTGTTAAGCCACACAAGTACTGTTTCTGAATTTCAGACCACTCAATCATGTGTCACTATCTAAGTGAATCATGGTTTAAAATGTATACTACAATAGCATTTTTTCCTCTCTCAGTCTGAAGTACTGTAGTTTTTTCTTTTAATTTTGATCTTTGCAGTCCTTGGTTACTCTGCACTGTGTAATAGTTTTTTAGCTTTCTCATTTTATGTAAGGAAATTCTGTTTTACTTCAGTCATATTGTATGGCCCACTGTACAATCTGCACTGTTTAAAAATAAGTAGTTCTGTGAGTGGATGAAAAAAGACAGAAGAAAATACTTCTAATTTTCTGTGATGTTTTAAATTTATAATATTTTGAGGACCTTAACTACAACACTTGAGGACTAACACAGTGGTGTTTTGCAATGAAATGTAAAATGTAATACAGGAACTATTCTTAGGGAGATTAAAGTCTAGGATCATCACTCATTAAGTGGTAACTTCACAGTCTTTTGTTGTATTCAGCTCTAGAAATTGAATTACAAATTAGATGGAGGAATACCTGAGGCAAAAATGCTTGGGCTTCTGAGATCCTATGGAGACTTGGGGAACAAAATCAACCTCCTCCTCATAAAATCTTTATTTGTAAGAACAGCCTTTTGTCCAACACCAAGTGTTTGCTTAACTGCACATGCAGTTTTTTAAATGAGTGGTTAGTAGTAATATTACGTATGTTCACAATTCCCTTCATTTCAGTCTATTGGTAAGCAATTTTGTTTTGCTGTATACAATGCACATAATTGAAAAGGCCTTTTAGGAAAAATCAAATGCTGTATAAATGGCTAGTTATAATTTTTAAAATAATGCTGAAAGCAAAAAAATTTGTAAATATAAAAAATGCAAGTTTGTCCTGTGCTTGTACATTGTGGCTGAATAATGAAATTTTGTGTAAATTCAGAAAGTACCATTAGTGATAGCGTGCACCCGAGGCTCGATTGCCTTCTGCACAAAGCTTCCAAAGAGCAATACCAAGCAACCTGAGATGAATAAGAATTTAGTCTTTCATTTAATTTTGAGGTCTGAATTGCTTTTGTTGGAGAGGAACGTCTCTTTCAATTGAGTTTCTCTCGCAGGCTAATGAAATTTGCTCAGCCAGCTAACAAGTCTGTCCGTGACCTGGCCTGACGTGACCATTCTTCTCGTAGAAGAGCATCAGCAGCAGCTCTCAGCCACGCCTGTCCTTACAGATCCCCCCTTGTGATGACCCAGAACTAATGAAAAGGGTTAATACAGAGCATCAGAGACAGAGGTCTTATTTTAGGCTTAACCACTAGCAACATCAAGACTATTTCAAATCTCACACCACAGTGTATTTCCTTTTCTGCAGGCAAAAAAAAAAACAAAACAACAAACAGAGCAGCTGCATTGTTCTACCTAGGAAACAATTCCGCTAATCCAAGTTAATCCATTTTTTCTATGCAAAGAGTTTCTAAGTCTTCTAAGAAGTATATACATGCCTCCGTGGAGAAGAACAATGCTGCCTTTTCCTGGGCAGTATCCACCAGCATTACCATGGAGGCAATGCTAAGATCTAGCTTGCAGTTGGTGTCCAATTGCTCCAGCTTGTATAAAGTCGTGATGAGAAGTCTGGGCCACTGCTATTCATAATCAGCATTTCTGCTCAGGAAGACAAGTTGGCTGCTTCTCACACCTTTACGTGAATCATTTTCTTGTGTAAAAATACAGTGTGTTAGAATCATAAAATCACAGAATCTTTGAGGCCTTTAAGATCCTTAAGCTCATCAAATCCAGCCATCACCTGACACTACAAGTCCACTACTAAAACACATCCGTAAGCACCACATCCACACATCTCTTCAATTCCTCCAGAGGTAGTGACTTCATCACCTTCCTGGGCAGCCTTTTCTAATGCTGAACTGCTCTTTCCATGTAGAAATTCTTCCCACCATCTAAACTTCCTCTGGTGCAATTTGAGTCCTTGTGTCCTGTTAGATGCAAAAGAAAAAAAACATTTCATATTTCTTTCCTATCTGCAATTTCTTTACAACATAAGTCCCTTAAGAATGTCCCTGCTCTCTGCTGCAGTGAAGCTTTCAGTGGCCATGTTGCACTGTCTGGTTACTTGATGGTGTAAAAGATGGCAGTCTCCTGTTGTAAGTCAGCTGAGGCAAAGCCGCCTGCCTGAGCTAAACCCACACTGCTTGCCATCCTTTTCTGATCTGCAGATACCTCGCTTGTTTCTTGCTCCATCCTCTTAATCACCATCATTCCCATGGAATATTGCAATTTCATTACAAAATGTCGTGCCTCTAAGCAAATCAAATGGTTAAGGAGAAAACAGGAAGATAAAAAATGGAATTTCTGAGTTTTTTCTTGGATGATGATGTGTGAGGGCCCTACACAGCTTGCTGCATTCATTTCTAATTTTTTTCTAAATTTTTAAAAATTGATCAGTTGCTGTGACAAAAATTGCAGTATTTCAGTAATTTTTTTGCCATATAATAAAGAAATCAGGACTATAATATGATTTAGGTCAATGCTCAACAAGAAACTCAGAATCATCTTTTTTCTTTTACCTGTGTTCTGTTTTCTGAAGTACAACACACAGCTAGAAATATAGCCACTTTTATGAGGTACTGAGAGGCAAACAAGATAGCTGCTTCCCATGAGCTCACTGATAAGCACTCTTTGAATGACATGTAACATATTTGGGATTTAAGACTGGATGAAGTCGTCGATGTAGTAGCTACTATGCAGTATCTACCATTCTGTTCTACCTGTCCTGAATTCTTTGTTTATATATATATTTATGTTCCGTTTTCATTTGTGTAACTTTACACCAAGATTCCTGTTGCAAAGTGTTAGGAAATGGCTTCTCAATCAAGTTTAGTCCTTTCAAATGCACATACCCATGTATAGTGAGTCATTAATTTATTCTACTATTTTGTGAAAGGATCTACTAAGGAATTAGTTCAGCAGTGCACACAAAAATGTGCTCAAAAATAAGTGTTTGATTCAGTGATATGCTGAGATACTCCCTTTTTTGTTGCACTAGGTAAAGTAGGGTTTTTCCTTCCAGCAATGTGCCTAGTAAAATGTAGTATTGAGCAGAATAAATGGTCAAAGTATGGATTTTTTTGCCTCTCCTAGACTTTATTTCTTTTATTCAACTTAATTTCCACTCCCCTAGTAAATTATTAACTTACTGAATCTTACTCTGAGCTGTTTCTAATATTTCATAATCCTTGACTACAAGTAATCTTTCTTCCCTTGCTGCACAAGTTTATATATTTCATTTATTATTGGTGCTTATTTTAACCAGAGAATATTTATTTATTTTTAGCTCCTATTATGTTTGTATAACTCTCAATGTGTCATATTTTTTCATAATTAAAGTGTCTGAAGAGTTGACTTAGTAGAACACGCTGCTAGAATTTGTTTTATGCCAAACTGATCTTTAATGCTGCAGTTAAGCACTGATCACAGCAGATATTCATGCACTGTGTGTCTTTGTTCTCCACAGCTCCAACAGAAGCTCCATTACATCCTCACCTAGGTAGGTGATTTGTCATTCTTACTACCAAAACTCAGAAACACTAACTTTGTTACAATAAACAATCCGTAAGGTCACATGAAACTAGCTCTGGGGAATTCAAATAAAAATGAAACTCATATAAAATGAATTGAATTATGTCTAACTCTGATTAGTTGTTTTTTTCACTGTGATTTTTATTGTTGTTTATTTATTGCCTTTGAGCCTTTGCAGTGTGAGTACATCACGCCGCAGAGATTTTTTGCTCTGTGTTAGAGCGTCCTTTTGAATAAGGACAAATAACCTCCACTGTGGGAGAATGCTGTCACACCAGCACTGGGTTACTGGGAAGGTTTTGTCCCTGTGCACCTCCAAGGTGCACCCAGCAACAGGGCAGTGCCACAGAGCACTAACTTGTACTCAGCAACAGCTGAGCTTTGGTCATTGGTCACTGCAAGTTGGTCATTGCAGCTGAGATTCCAGCACCTTTGTTCAGTCTGAATAGAAGGTGATAGTCACTTAATTCATTTCATGCAAGCATTTGTAGAAAAAGTGTCTGTTTAATACAACTACTGGAACAAGTTTCAGGGTTTGGATGTTTTGGCCATTACATATAAATGAAACAGTAAACTTAGGGCAAAAGGTGAATTCCGAAGCTTGCAGGCTAATGGTTGGAAACACTTGTGTAATCTCACTCACAGCTTAGGCATCTTGAATGAATCTGCCTTTACTTCCACCTCCACTGACTGCAGCAGAAAAATCCCAATGAACTCATGGCTTTTTGCTTATGAGTTACCCAAGTGGACCTCCTGACTTTTAGAAACAGAGTACTCTCATGAGGACCTCTCATCTCCCCTTGTTCCAGTGCTTCCAAATTCTGGATTTGAAAGTTGTTTTTTTTTTCTGAACTTTCAGAAGAAATAACAGATGTTAAAACATTAAGCATGTATTTGTCAGAACTGGAAAACAGGAGGTGATTACACTGGATTTTTGCATATGACACTTTCTTTTGTTCTAGCTGAAATGCACAGTGACAGCATTATCCTACGAGATGACTTTGACTCGTACCATCAGCAAGAGTTGAATCCTAGCATGTGGTGAGTTTCAGACTTTTTACACACATCTTAGTAAATAAGACATTCCGATTATTACAGAGTATTATTTTATTCCCAGATACCTCAGCTCACATTTTTATAACCTTATGTATGTCTTTGCTCCTTAAAGATCTAAATATACTAGCTTGTTAATTTCTTGATTAATGATTGAGTGAGAAATTCTTAAGTCCATTGAAGTGAGCAGGAAATTCTTATTCAGTTCAAATTTTGAATTAATGCAAAAATACAAGGAGTAGAGCAAAACTCTGTGAATGATTTTGTGTGAAAATGTTGATTTCTTCAAATCAAAGCGTTTAATGGAAAAGATGATGAATTTGAATGCTTAAATTTCTTTGTTTTGATTATTTTTTCATTTCCTGTTGATGTAATACGTATTTCTGGTGAAGCTAACTGTAGTCAAACTCATTTTAAACTGAGATAAAATACTTCCAAAATATTAAAAGTAGAAAATCAACTCGAGTTGAAATTTATTTCAGTTCATTTCAGTTCAATTCATTTCATAAATGTAACTAATTTAATTAATTTCATTCATACAAGACAGGGATATCTTAGTGAGTTACTTTATCTCTTTCAGGCAAAATGTGCTTTTAGCAGTTACTGCATTTGTTATTTAGGAATACATTTGTTCTTTTAAATCTAATTTAGTTTTCCTTTTTATTAAGGTCTCTCACAGTTTCCTATATGTGCAGGTCTTTTCCATTTCACCATCTCATGTAAAAAAATTATGGTTTATGAAATGCTACAGATATTTTTCTTTTGCATATATTTATTGTAACAGGTTTTAGTGTGTGCCTACTATTTTCCCTCCTTTTGTTCCTTTTGTATTTTCTCTTTAAATGTTTTTCTGGACAGACACATTAAGGACCTGGAATGCTGTAATATAAAAAAAAAAAAATAACCAACTCTTTTTTTTTATGGGAATGAATAGATCAAGGACTCTTAATGGGTAACAGAATAGCTGCCAAGGTAGATAGCTTTAGCAGCAGCGTGTTAAATGGACTTGAGTGGAAGGAAATGAGAGGAGGCATTATTTCCCTGCAGATGTCTCATAACTCACAGAGAGCCTGTCTGTTGGGAGCCTCCATAATTTATTTATTCATTGCTCTCTTATCTTCAAATTCATCCTTGCTTTTCAGAAGTCTCAACAGAGAAATTTCAGTCTAAAAGAGGCCCTTGTGTCCTGCTCTTTTTGTCTCTGAGATTTGGATGTGGTCTCTATGGAATAACCTTGACCCACCTTGGCTGGTGGGTCAATGCGTAGAGGAGTGTGCTTGGAGAGAGTCCTAAAACTCACTGCAGTCCTGCAATGGGTGCCTTGATATTCTTGTAATGACACCAGAAAGGCAATGTCTTCGGCAAGGCTCAATGGAAGTAGAGCACAAATAAAACTATAATGAGGTGTCATGAGCTTTTCTGCATAAAGAATTTCTACAGTAGCTCTCCCTCCAGTGACAAGCTGCTTAGTGGCAGGAAGCTCACTCTCATTTGGTTGTCTTGTGGGAATTAAATCAGGGATTATTAGCAGTTTACACCATCCCCCCTAAAATTGCGTTTTTCCCCTGGCAGCTGCTAAAATCCCATCTTTATCACAAACAATTGCAGTGAGTGCTGGAGCAGGATTTCCAGCCCCGCTCTGGCTCTGCTCCTCTGTGCTCTGAGCGCAAGAGCAGCTGCCTGCTGCACCAACCCTCCGGCAGCGCCTTGTCACCAGGGGCCAGTTAGACGAAGCCCCTCTAATAATTTCTGAAGCCATTATTTGTGTAAAGATGAAAAGAGAGACGTTAATATTTTCCTCTGGCCTTTTCTTCCCAGATCCTATGCAACACTGGCTTGGTGTGATTAGCATTGTCACAGCTCCTGTACCACTCTCTGCACACACAACTCCAGCAAGATGCGTACAGTCCAAGTGCACAAGCAGAGCCTTTTGTAGCTTATGTGTGTGCCTAATTCTGAGTCCCAGCAGAGCTAGAGTGCCACCCCACATCAAATAGCTATTTTGCACAGTGGCACTGTATGATTTTGAGAGTGTCTACTTGTTTTAATATAGATTTCTGAGCTTTGTAATGCATTACGAGACACATTCTACCTAGCAGCCATTTGTTCCTTCAGAGGCTCAGGAAATGAGAGGGAAAACCTTGGGTGTTTCTGGAGGTGTGAGGTGAAAAGAGAAGAAGGGATGGGATAGGGCTCTTTGTAATCAGAAAAATCGACATCTGGAAATGGGTTCCTGATAAAAATCAGTTTGGTAACAGAGAGAAAACAGGAAAAATTGAAGTGGGAAAGAAAGAGGAAAGGAAGAGGCAGCAGGCAAGGAAACATCAAGTGAAGGAGGAAACAGGGAGGGCTTCTGTATTGGGAATGCAGGAACTGAAGCATCTTTTCTTTCATTTACTTGGGACTCAGCCACCACAGAGATTTCCATATGGGGTGTGTCCTACTGAGTTTCCTACTTCTGTCTTCCAGCAAGCAGTACTGTCAGAATGTGACTATTTCTAAAGTTGCCAAACTTTAGAAGCATAAAAACTTGTTTATTTAAGCAAAGATTTCCTCACTCTTCTAATCACATTTGCCGTGTACTTTACAAAGATCTCACTTCATTCTGAAATAATATGACTCTTGGATTCATGAATACCCAATGCATTTCATGTCTAACATGTATTCGGTGTGTAAGCTAGTTAAATGACTCCTACTCTGTTGTCAGCACACCACATGCTAAGCAGTTCACAGCTGGCTTGCAGAAAACCGTAACTTGTATTGCATTTTTCAATGAAAAGTCTAATAGCACAACTGCTTCATGGTCTATCTGCTGTAAGCTGGCAGGAGTGTGTTAGTTCAGAAAGCCCAGAAACCATGGAAGTAATAGATTTCCTCAGTAGATAAAGGAAAGTTGCATCATGTAAATTTAAATACAGGAAGCCCTTGCACAGGGAAACCTGCTCTCTGGTCTTTAGGGGAGATAAGGCTTCGTAAAACTTTTCTGAAGGCAGAACTGCATGTTTCTGGAAATGTAATTTGCTTTTATGATGTCCTAGTTGATATATTAGAGGAATACTTTGTAGTAGCGGCAGAGAAAGAAGATTTTGGGCATTTTCTAAACATGTGGTCTGTGTCTTGGAATATAAAAGGCCAAATGATATTTGGATGAGAAAAGAATGAAGGACCAATATAGGTGATATGTGAAAAATAATCTAGTTCATTGGATACATGCTTCTATGATCATCTTGCCTCTATATAACCTCATAACAGAGAAGAGTAAAAAATGATGCTATGTAACAACTAAAACAGTTCAAACAAGAACAAATCTAGAAGAAGATATCTTTACACTGAATGAATTAATCTTGAGACAAAGAGAGGGGGAAAGCAGATGCATAAATTAATAGTGGCTCTGGCAATTCTATGCTTTAACAACAGGGATGTAGATAACAAGGAATTCAGTACATCTGAAAAAGAAAAACTACATGAAAGCTGTTGCTGGCTAAACTCTCTCAATTTAGCACCATGTTTCATCTCAAAGCCCATCCACACTCCAAACAGCAATCACTTACAAAAGATAAACTCCTCAAAGACGATCTGAAGAAAAACTGAGCAAGTAAAATCAATCAGCAAGAAACAGACTCCATCGCTTCTTCATAGCATATGAGAAATGAAGAGGTACAGTGATATATCCAGTGGCACAGAAATAGCAGAGCTTTGTGACAGAAGAGAAAGGTCCTAAAGTGATTTCCAAATTGCACTAAAACTGTGGGATTAAACTTCAGAAAGATTTATGTTTTAAAATCTCGTGGCTGTTTGAGATGTTTACCTTCTTTATAGTCCAAACATCACAAAAGACATCAGTCAATATACTGTCTACAAACTCAGATATTGTAGAGGGAAACAAGATGACAAATAGTGATGAGGAAGCAGCAGATGTTTCCCCTTCAGCAAAGTGAAGAACAATAGCTGAGAGAGATGGGACTCTAGGCTGGGGATGAGAGTGATGGCAGTCTGCAGAGAAGACATCTAGATGAATATAACAAACATCAACAGTGCCAGTGAGAACCAGCTGTGAAGAGAAAGCTGAAGTGATTTTAATGTGCTAAGACTTTATACCAGGTGGGTGAGAAAGCAAAAAGCTGCACCTAGACAGAGCGATTAATACTGTCTCGTGGTCATATGAATGGAAAAGAAATTAACCTTACTGTCTGCACCAGAGAGGAGTAAATTGGGTGATTTCTAAACACATAATATGATGATGATGATGATCTGAGGAACACCAGATCAATTACCTTACTCTTCATACATTCCTGTCAAGCTGCTGGGCAATTTGTTGTCAGAAGTGATACATTTCAAAGAGAGCACAAAGGTTTGAAGAGGGATTACCAACATACAATTTCTAATGAGAGGAGTCATCCTAGAGAAGATGAGTGGTGATGAAAGAGCTGTGTTACATTTCTAGACCACATTACAGCAGTAGAATAAATTAACAGCTAAATCACTTAATATCTTTTATATATGATAAGGAAACAATTGCATTATCACTTGGCTTAAGTAGTATGTCTTTTTATTAGGGCGTAAATATTCCCTATGTAGTATTTGCAGGTAAGGTTTTCCTGCCATGTGTGTGTCTCTGCATATATATATGGAGATTTCAGGCAGTTACTCTGCTATCAAACCCAAGAGCATAGGGGCACATAATATATATAATAAAATAATGATTATAAGCAGCCAGAATACAACAGAATTCCAGCTATTCTTATTCCTGTTCCCATGTTCTTCAGTTGCCAGGGTTTAGAGATCAAGTGAAATTTAGATAATGAGAAAACATACACAATCTAAACCCTGTTTCTTTGCCTTCTCCTAAGGCATGCTTCAGTTCACTCACATGCTCTCTTCTTGAGCTATACTGAAAAATAAAATTATGGGCCAGCTGTGGCTTATGTAAGTAAATATTAATTCATTCAAATCAATGGAAACTACATTACTTTATTAGACGATTCAGTTTTGCTACTTAAATCCAAAATACTAAATGCTATCAATGTGATTTGCTGAATGACGTTAGTTAAATATCCATACAAGTTAAAAATCAAGGATGTTTTAAATCTGACTTTATTCTGGGAACTGGAAATGAAATTTACTTTAATAAAATCTTAGAATAAGAGAGTGACTTATGAAGTGGGAAGAGATCTTCATCTTTGATTTCTGTAATGGACTTGGGCACATTAGAGCCAACCCTGCATTGAGTTGACCCTGGATCAAGTGAATAAACCCAAAATAACAAGTGCAATCAATTATTCACTACATCTGTGCATCTGAAAGTCTAACATCTATTCCTCAGCCCCAGCTCTCTGGGTAGATTTGACCCTTTGACGATGCTGCTGGACCATTCCCAGCAATGCAGTCAGAGATTTAAATTGTCCTAACTGTGCCCATGGTATGCTTATGGTTTTTAGACACTCAGGAATAGAAATATCCAGCTTCAAGATGCTTCCAGAAGGACTTGACAGAGGTTTGGCACGACACTTACCAATGAAAAAACAAACAAGCGCCATAACTTAGGAAAAGAAGTGAAAAAGATCAAGGAAATTTGCATAGGAATTAACTGTGATCATCGCTATGATCGTATTTATCAACAAGCCCCTATCTTGTTGAAATCTCTTCCTTTTCATCTGATTTCTGTCATCCAGAAATTAGCTGAAGAATGAGATCAAGCCTTCGCAAATTACTAAACTATGGGAATGTGTATTTTTGTGGCATACTGCATCAGAAAAGGTGGCCAAGCCAGAGGCATTTTGTGTGAGAGTAGCCAAAGAAGAAAAGGTCTAAGCATCCCTTACTGAAGTCCATTTCACTTTAGACTCTAAAAATACCGGTTATCAAAGTACAGACAGAAATTGGAAAGAAATGAGAAGGTTTGGAGTGAATTCACCATTGCTTACAATGGATTTGTCCCCAGAGCAAATGTTGTCTCTGCATTTGATTTGCAACAACATGGATGGCAGACATTGAACACTCCAAGCTCTCCTGTGACAGTGCCACCTCCCTGCTTGGTTCTCACCTTCATTCTGCCCTTTAGAATAGATAACCCTGCACCTGGAGAGTTCAAGGTTTCAAAATCTGCAGTGTCCATTCCTGTTCCTGTTTGGAGGAGTATGACAGCCTTGTCAAGAGGAACTCAGTGAGCTGCCTAAAGGCCGAGCTCTGTGCTAGGCCTTGGTCTCCATCCATGCTGCATGAGGGCAATAGAGGACTGAAGGCATACTAAGGCTGGTTTTCTCTCCAGACCAGAGTGTTTTATTCTGTTCATTTCCAGGAATGAGATTTCTGTCCCTGAGAGAAAGGTGGTAAAGCCAAAGCCATGCAGAAGTGATGCAGGAAAGCCGGAAAGTGATGTTTCAAGTTCTGCAAACTAGGATACCTCTGAATTACTTACTGTCCCTGTGATCTAAAGTGGCATCATAAAATCACTCAGTTGCTCGGTTTGTTTCTCTGATGTGATCCTACCCATGTTTTGCAGTAAAGTGCAAGTACCTATCTACCTATCCACATGGTCCTTTATCAAGAGGCAGATTTAGCACCTCGGACTTAGAGGTGCTTGACCTTGTGTTAGTGAAACAGTGTGATTTGAGTGCCAAAATATAACAGTCTTATTTTACAGTCTTCATGTTCTGTTCTTCCTGCAGGTCTGAATGCAGCAACTGTGAGATTGGAGAGCAGTGTGGTGTGATTATGCACGGCAGTGCCATCACTTTCTGTGAGCCATATGGTCCCCGAGAGCTGGTAAGTGCTTTGCAGGTTTGGTGTTCAGCAGACAGTCTCCTTAGCAAAGGTGATAATGCCATGGAAGAACACCACAGGAACATCCAAAATAATAGATGACTGATAACCAAAAATTGTTGCAATCTTTTGCAAGGGAAAATCTCTTGATCCAGTGTATATTCATTTTTTAAAGTATCTGTAAAGACAGGTGTGGATGTCTCTGTAAAGAGAAGTTGTGGATGCCCTGTCTCTGGAGGTGTTCAAGGCCAGGGTGGATGGGGCCCTGAGCAGCCTGGTCTAGTATTAAACATGAAGGCTGGTGGCCCTGCCTGTGGCAGGGGGGTTGAAGATTCATGATCCTTGAGGTCCCATCCAACCCAGGCCATTCTGTGATTCTGTGAAAGGTGATGTAACAGAGCTTTGTTATCAAATTGTTGTCATCATCTTTTTATTTCCGACAATGAAATAAAGACAAGGTTCATTTTTCTTCTTCTATTCTATTAGCTCCATCCCCCTTTTTTTTTTTCTTGTCGTTGTTGACAAATGTTAGTTTGGTTGTAAAGCATCACTTGCAAACAAGGCATTCTACAGATTTAAATGCAGCCTGAAGCAAGCACTTGCCAGACTAAGGAAAGTGTATGTAGCAAATTGAGTCATGATGAAGGTGACAGAATAATTTCACTGGGGTGTAGTTTGGCCATAAAATTGCTGAAAGAAACAACATGGTGCAACTTGCATTAACTTGGGATCATCTGGGTGGGGGAAATTAATTGAAAGATATATAACCAATGCCCACATGCTGCAGCTGACACCAGCAGTTAGCTGCAGTGATGTAGATAAAATGGGAAATTTTGAAAGAACTGAAAAATTACAAGAGCAGCTCAAAGCCTGTATAATTCAAAATTAATTTTCATGTTTTCAATAGTATCCTGAGTGGAGGGAGAGGGTAATGAGAACTATTTGAAGAGGATAGATGGAAGAGGGCCATAAAACAGAAGTGGTTTTGGCCAAGAATCTTCTCCTTGTTTCAGACACTAACAATTCCTTTAATGGGATTAATTTTACATCTTGAAGTGAGATCAAAATTGCACAAATGCAATGAAGATGTTGCTGGTGACTCAAAGGCATAAACAGATTTAAAAGCAATTCATTTATTTTATGGGTAAGGGAGAGTTTCAGTCATTCCCTCCATAGCCAACTCCGGCAGGGAAATCCTGACAGTGCTGCTAAATTGCCTCTCTGCTACTTTGAATTCTATCTGAACACACTAAGCTTCATTAACTGCCTTGAGAGGAGATGCATTGTTTTATGCCTTGTACAGAAATGAAGTCACACCGCTAGGATGCTTTTTCCACATTTTCCTACTCATTTTAAATTCCAGTATTGCATGTAGGTAAATTCCTGAAAAATAACTTACTTGCATTTAGCAAACCAAGGGTCCCAAGTAGTTTAAAATGTTGTTAATTAGATGTCTTCTTCCTGCTGATATGTAATTGAGCCTACCTTCATTAATCGCAAATTGACTTCGAAATCCAGCATTGGACTGTTCTTTTGTACTGCCACATGGCAAAATGGCACTGTCCTAGCATCAGGAACTTGGGAGAAAATGTATTATGATGCCTAAATGGTGTGATTAAATAATCAGCTGAAAAAATAATCATGCTTATAAACAACTCTAAGCCTAATAATGGAAGTATAAGTATTATGGCAATATTGCCGAAAAATCAAACCCTTATGAAGCGTTTAATACTTGGGGTGAGCACAGGACACTGCTCATACCACAGGTCTGACCTGGGTTCATTTTCAAATATGGACATATATTTTAATCCTAATTTTCTTTAAGATGACTTGATATTCATGTGTAACCATCTTTCAGCATCTAAACAATTTATCTCTTCCTGTCAACATTTTTAAAACCTTTTTTACTTCTCCAATCTTTATCTATTTTTGAATCCCATTCTTGAAATTGCTCTTGAAATCTGTTTCTGTTCATGGCTCCTTTTTCCACATTATTGCTTTAAAATACTGACTGGAGTTGAATTTGCAAAATGTATTTTATCAACAACTGTGACAGCTACTGGTTTTCTTCCTTGACCTCCGTCTCCGCTCCTTACTGCCTGTAGCTGCCTGCTGCTGCTGGGAGAGGTTGTTTAATACCAACTGTCTGCGTCTGTTGGTGAGAATTTACCACTGGTAAAATCCTGCGAAGATATTTAGTGTGAGGGATGTTACAGAGAAAAATAGCGACTCCCTGCCTGCTCAGAAAAAAAGTAGTTTTCCTTTCTGCGGTATCTGAACTTACCAGTCCTTTACAAGACTCTTCAAAAGGTTTTTGGAAGATCAAATGTTGTCGTTTTGTTTTTTGTTTTCTAAAACATTACCTGAACAACTCTCAACATATTCTCTTTTATTTTTTTCTGAACATCTTTTGTGATAAATGATAACATTTAATTTCTTGGCAATATGAGCTACTGAACATTGATAAAGGGTTTCATTTTGAAATTAGAACTTGCACAACATAACATAATTAATTGAATGTAAGCTAATATAATAGGTACTCATAACTCAAGTCAGAAAGCACTTTATTACTTGGCATGATAAAAGCAATACGTAATATTGAATCAATCCTGACAGAATGAACATAAACTGGGACAATTGCAATTTTAAAAGAGCTGATATAAATGCAACCTCCTTGGTTTTGCTTAAAGGCTATAATTGCCTTTTAGAAATATTCCAAGGAGAGAAAAATTGTATTTTCTGCAAATATAATGTACAGATAATGGGAAATTTTCAAACAGTTTTGAAAATTGCTATTTCATATTATTGTGATGGTTTGAGAATGTCTCACCAAATCTGTTCACAGATCATTAACAGCTGTGATTAATTACTTAAATTTTCATTCATCCTCCTAAAGAACTTGTAGCTTTATTATCAGCTAATCTTTAGTGCATTTCAGTAAAGATCCCATTTGTTAACACTTGTAAGAAAATTTCCTCTGCATTCAGTGTGAGTGTAGGAAAAAAAAAGACATCAAAAAGTCATGCCAAAACAAGCCATTTCATGGACCCTTCTCTTCTCATTGTGGAGGAAGGAAAACAGAGATCTCTCTGATGTTCTTTGTCATTTAGTGAAAAGCTGCTTGGATAGTACAGTCATGCCTCATGCTCACCTACACCCACTGGAACCCAGGACCAGGTCTCCATCTATTATAAATTCACAAATACCTTAACTTGGTTCAGCAGTGGACAAAACTGAATCTCTTTTGCTCTTGTGCATCATTTCCTGGAGGCAGAGATGCTATTCATACAAGCACTGGTGGGCTGTATAGTAAACCATGCTATTAGTAAATGAGTCCAGGTCAAAACTAACTTACAAAGGAAGAAGACCATTAGCCTGACTGAAATCAGCTTCTCAAGCTAATTTACCTCTTACCATCTAAATGCTGATGTTAATAATGGAAGAGAGTGGTGAAAGCTGTCCCATCACCCAGGAATTTGTTAATCATATAGATGTGAATATACATACAAATTCTGATTATACATTGGCAAAGATATGGATATTTTTCTGAAAGTCACCAAAGGCAGAAGGACAGAAACAGGGAGCTGAGAGATAGCATTAGTTCTGCATCACTGGAGTCCTAAGTAACAGTCAGAAAACATCTGCATTTTGGATTAGCTTTTGTTCATTGTCATGCAGCTATGTGCAGGGAAATAAGGGAGTTCAGACATGAGAGATTTCTCTCCAATTTTAATATATATCTACACAGTAGATAATTAAAGTGAACAGGAATTCCTGATAATGGAAGAATCTGTGCTTTTGCCATGTGACTTGGGGAAATTATACAGAAAATGTGCTCTTTGCCATTCAGAAATGCTGACAATATTGCCTTTGTAATAATGCCATAGTAGGATCTTCCAAGTAATTGGCTCTACTCTTTAATTGAGTGCTGCTTTTTTTTAAGAAAATGACAGTTTGTCTGTGAGCTCCATTTTTTATCCATATTTTGCAGTTCAACAATTTTATTATGATTGTTGCTGATCTTATCTTCTATTCAGTTTCCTCTCCATCACTCAGAGTATTCAAGTCCTTCAGGTAATCTACTTGTAGCCACCTTCATGCAGGTCCCCAGCTCGGCACTGGCGGCCAAAGCAAAGAGCTCTGCTAGCCCCAGACCTTGCTTCAGGGGTTGAGTTTGCTCTGAAGTTTGGCTTCTCTTTAGCTATATCCACATTATGATGATTTGAATGAGTGAGGATCACAGATTTCCTAATGGAAGAGTCCATCGCTACTCTAAGGGGAAATAACATGAAATTTTGGTCCATGGGTTCTGACATGCAAGGACAACTCCAAGGTCTTCAGATCCAAGCTTCAGACACCACTGGCAATAAATATCAGATGAATTTACTTAGGGCATTTGCTGTCACTGTTCTTCTAATTAAATGACATTTTTAAGATTGCATAAACTTACTGTCTGATCAGTTTGCGTCTTTTTTTCCTTTTTTCTTTTGTTTCTTGCTGATGTAGTCTTTTATTTTGTACATTTTTCCTTTTTTCACTCTAGCCTACAACATCTGCTTATAGTGATAAATCATATCTCTGCTGGGTCTTTTGCAAATGGGAATGAACCAAACTTTGAGTCTTTTCCTTTTTGGGACGATGATCCAGTAGCTCTTTCTCTTTGCTGAATAGTTGCTATGATTTTTCATCTTCTCAACAAAATAACTAGATCAGGCAGTGTCTTTACAGTAGTGCTTCTGGCTTGCTTCTTACATAGCAGTAGTGTTAAGGTTAACTTTCAAAACGTATTTAAAATAATTCTGAAATAATACAGGTGGTTCTATCTTCTTCACAATACTGTATTGCTTTTTATCTCATAAAACTGTCCTAATTTGAACTACTGAAATATGAGGGTATTGACAATGGAGAAAGAAAAGCAACACAGGTGGGCAGTGTCCTGAATACGGAGTGACCTACTTGAAGTTTTTTGCCTGTCTGTTTGGTCTTGCTTGGATGGGTAGATGCTGCTACAGAACTTCATGGTATATATTATGCTGTATCACCAAGTTTTTGTTTGCTTTACTGATGAAGACTAAGATTATATTGTTTCCTGTAAATATTTCATTTTATTATTTTATATTCATTTAGTGTTGTTTTCATTATTTATTTATGATCATTTCTCGTTCTGTGCTGAGAGAATAAAAAGAGTTACATATGCACATGTTTATCCAAGCTGGCCATCGATGACGGGGTTGCTTCATTTTTTAGATCTCCTAACACTGATCAAGTGCTAGTGTTTCACATCATTGGGCAGACAGCAATACAGTAAAAAAAAAAAAAAAGGAAAACGGCTATGACATGTGATGAGATATCAATAATCAAAATGACATAACAGCAGTGTCCACAATCACTCAACCTGAAAGGATAGGAAATTAATAGTTTTATTCACTGGAGATCTATGTATCCAGAGACCTTCCATGCTTTCAAAGAAAAACAAGTGATGAATATACTGTTTTGCTGACCTAACATGATCTCTCTGCTGTTTGCTTTTCTTCCTGTAGACTACCAATGGCCTTAACACAACTACTGCATCCGTCCTTCAGTTTTCCCTTGGTAAGTTTAGCTCAGTCTTTCATCTGAGAAAGCGTAAAAAGTCATTGTTGCAATGGAAAGTGACCCTCAGTTTCATCTTCACTGTTTTGTTTGGTGTGGCACTTGACATGAGAGATTAGAATCATCTTGTAAAAACTACATCACATTTATTCATCTCTTGATAATCCATGAAACTCCCAATATAAACTTTGGAAAGGAGCAATTCCAGTGGATACTCCAATGATGGGAGGTATAGTCATGGAGTAATCTTTGTCACATCTATTTTATAACCCAATGGCAAATGTTATAGTCACTTCTTCTTTCTCTAATGTGTGATTGCTGTTTCTAAAATAGAACTAGCAAAACTGGATTTTTCTTCTTTAATATTTTAAACCCTTGATGTCTTCCAGGTTATGGTTGGATAAAGCTCTTTGTAACACATCTACACAAACAGAATAGGTAGCAGGACAGAACAAAACTAGATGCTGTCTGATTGTGATTATTTACAGGGGGTGGCATGCTTTACCACCTAGAATGCCTGCTGTAAGTTATCGCAATGTGTGGTTTGGGCTTTTTGCAGAAGCTGTGGCTTGGGATGAGGGCAAATTTGGAAAACACTTAATTCCTTAATTTAAATCTCAGTGTTCAAAGTATGAAGGAAAAATGTTTTTATGACTCAAATAGTTCAATAAAAAAGCAAGCAAGAAATATAGCTGCTTCCTCTGTGGACTCCTGGATATATATTTCCAAATTATATACCTCTTTTTAAAAAACTTTAAATCACTAGAAGTATCTCAGCAAAAGGTGTGATTAAAGTCTAGAAATCTCAGTTGGAAATAAGAGCTATCAGGCAGCTTGGCAGGCTGCTTCTTTTTTTTTGGTGGATGTGAAATCAATATCCTAGAAGGCTCAGAAATACATCAGTTACATTTGTTTCTACCTGAAGTCATTCATTTGACTATTTGAGGGCAACATTACTTGTCACTGTGCAGTTCACAGCAGTGTTATTAGTGCTAACGATTGGTATATGTGCTTTTATAGAGAATTACCATTTTTAAAAAGCTAGCAAAATGTGCCCATTCCTAAGCTGAATTACTGCACAAAAATCCAACACCTCTAGCAAAAAAACAGCCTGGAGCTGCTCTGTAGCTTCATGCAACCAGTGGAAGGACAGCAGTTCACTTGCTTTGCTAGGACATGCCATTTACCCACAGAATCATTCCTGGGGTTTTTAAAGCCACACATTTCTGTCTCATTCTCCCACCTGTGTCTGTACCATTCATAGTCAGTGAATGTTTGCTGTTCCAGCTTGGCAGCTGGGTCCTGCTACAGGTGGCATACAGAAGATTGCATTTCCCACACCCAGAATTTCACTAGTAGCCTTTGGTCCTATCATCTGGGAAGGTCAAATAAAAAAAAGGTTAAAGAATGGCCAAGTAGGAAATATCATATATGGTAAGAATATCCTGAACTGTACCAGTAGAAACCAGTAAAATCCCCCATGTAATAGAGCAGGAGAGGGGTGATATGTATCTGAGTAAATAAAATTTCAGCCTAAGTTCAAAATGTATCACATTACCTGCATGCCTATGTAGGGCTTGAAATATAGCACAGATTGGTTTTGTAACTGATAAAAACCAGTGTGAGCCGGGAGACTTCTGCTGTGCTCAGCAGTACTTGGCTTTACAATCATAAAAGTGAACGAGGCATTTGCCAGTTTCCATCTTATTCCCAAATGTCCAGATTAATCATAACCCTATTTAGAGATTCATCCAAGAGAATTACCTTTTCTTAAAGAAGGTTCAACACTTTCTATCTGCCACTGAATACCTCAAGCTGAAATCCTTTGGGATTGCCTTTATATTAGATTTCTCACTTAGCTGTGGCCACATGAAAGTGCATGTCCTTTGATTTCTGTCATCACTAATTATCAAATGGAATTCTGTATTTGCAGCTATATAAGCAGGTGAAGATTGGAAAATGAAGCAAAAAAATTGGCTTTGATTACATCACGAATCCCTGTATGGTCAGAATGGATAAGATACTAGTGAATTTTTCATTAGTTGATATTCTGTGTAGTTTTCTTAATGTGCTATGCATCTGGTAGTCTTGCACTCTGAAGGGCAATAAAGTTCAAAAGGAGCACTGAGGATGAAGCCTTAATTATCATGGAAAGGTAGTTAGTAAGCCCTGTTCAGCACACAGGACAGCATTAATGCACAGTAGCTTTTCTGAGCAAGAGCAATGTCTCTGCCATGCTGCACTCAGAGTCACTCCAGTGGCATTGTCTCATGGTCCAGGGCTGGGGCAATGCTTACATTCATGAGCTGGAGGCCCAAGTGTGCAGAAGATTTCAATTCCTTCAGATATCTTTAATCATCCATGACTACGTATCTCCAAGATAAAGCACAGGTATGTGAAAGACAAAATCTGGCTGTTTCCTCAGTACTCAATAGGATTGTTGATTGAGATATTTAAAGCAATATCTTTGGACTCCCATGGGCCACGGATGGGCCAGGTATGTTCAACAACTTGGGATTGCAGGATATTACACTGATGTTAGCCTCAGTTGTTAGCTGGAATATTCCCTCCAAAGCTTAGGTTTTCCCCTTAGATTGCTCCAGGGATGAACATAAGCTGTCATTCATGTAGGCCCATGTGGTTCAGACAGTAATGAAATATTAATAACTGAGGTAGAGGTGGGAAGAGTTACACATGGAATTCTGTGAAGGGAAAAGGCTTTAAGGGAGCAATGCCAAGGTGTCAGGTGCGCAAGTGGCACTGTTCCTTGGGCATCTTCTTCAAGCATATGCTCCCACGTCTGTGATGCATGTGAGCGGTGCAAACCCTGCATGGGCATTCAGCATTGTCAGACTATTTGCAGTCCTCCTTCTTCCGCAGTGCATGTGTCAAACACCAAGCTGAAGCTAATGAGCACCAACACTTAGCATGTCCTCCCATGCAGGTGCTCCTTGTAGCCATGTGTGTCTCAACGTGAAAACTGTTTGTGGAGAATGTTCAATTTCCTTGAAAAAAATTTGTTCCATAGCTGCTTCTTCACGCTCTACTATCGATGGGTCATTTTTGACTACTGAAAAAATATTGGAAAATAGGAATAACTTGATAAGGAAAGTACTCTTTCTTCAGATTTGTTCATGAAAACTCTTAAACACTCCTCTACAAGCAGGCTGAATTTGACAGTGCCTTTGACTAAATAAATGCAAACTGTGAGGAAGGATCATATCTTAAAATTCTTTCCAACTTTTATGGTATTATCCAAAGATCCTCAGTCATTACTAAAGCATGTTATTAACTGTTCCCCCTCTATTTTCTAGCAATATATACAAGTTGTTAATCTCTTTTAATATCTTAATAGTTCTCTGTAGAAACAGGAAGTTCCATTGGAACAGGCTGCCCAGAGAGGTTGTGGGGTCTCCTTCTCTGGGGATATTCAAAATCCTCCTGGACACTTTCTTCTACAATCTACTCTGTAGGGAATCTGCTTTAGCAGGGGTTGGTCTAGATGCTCTCCAGAGGTCTCTTCCAACCAAACCCAACAATTCTGTGATACACGCTATTTTTTATTATTTACTAAATGAAAATAAAATGTTACACTTTCTGCTTTTACGTGCATAAATATTTCATTGACAAACTCATCATTTAATCACATTTCTCCAACATTTCTCATTTAATCGTTTAACATTTAATCATTTCTCCAAACATGCTCAAAAGTGAAAGGTATTTCACTCTTTCAATTTTATTTCCTGGCAGAGCAGTCACCACTGTCTTCCTTTAAAAGTCCTGAGCTTTACAAATCCATCAGACTATGAACACTACTTAACTGAAGAGTAATTGTGTGTTGAGCCTGTGTTGACTTTTATATTTATAGCATCATTTCTTTTTAAGAGGAAAGGTCCCTGTGTAATGCACATATCAAGAACTTCTATGTGGTCTAGGATATTTACAGTCTATTATATAATGCTTGCTCATTTCACAGTCTTTCACAAACGCAATAGAGAAAACAATTTAAAATATGCTATTGACTGCTTTTGATTAGTGTATGAGTAAGGGTCATTGATTTGGGTGCAGATCTTTGACATAACGGTTCCAAAAGGGTTTTCATGTCATGCCCTGCCTTGCCTCAGACAGCAGGTTAGTGAATCATTAACACAGCAGCATCTATTACTGTTTTTGAACCACCAGAGTTGATTTACTCTGTAAATCTATGTACCAAGGACCTCACTGATGTTTGCTGAAGACAAAGCACAGATTGTTTTCAACACCTTCACTGAAATAATGCATTTTTCTTCAGGCTCAAGTTTCTTCATTTTTGAAGTGGCAGTTTGTTACCAGTCTGAATCCTAGAGAATTAAACTACAAGTGATTGATTCTGTAGATAAGGGAAATACTTCTTTTTTGCTCTGATACATATTCAAACTACAATAGTAATAGTAATCATAGCAGTAGTTTTTAAAACAGAATTGATGACTGTGCCTTTTAGATTAGTAATGACTGCCACGCTTTTATACTTCAGCAAAAAGAAGATCATAATGGATACAAATTACTTTACAAGAATAGCCTATGGACATAAGTAGCGCAACTGACTCACTGACCCCCAGGTATGTCCATGGAGAAAATAGTTTTGCTATGTGCTTACCTGGATTAGTGTCTGCAGGGCTTTGCAGGACATCTGCAGGAAGGCAATTCCTTCTCCTTCCCTCCAGAATCATAGAATTATAGACTTGCTCAGGTTGGAAAAGACCTTAAAGATCTTCAAGTCCCACCTAAACCTAACCATACTCCCCTAACAACCCACCACTATACCATGCCCCTGAGCACCACATCCATATGGTTTTTAAACACATCCAGGAATGGTGACTCAACACCTCCCTAGGGAGCCTGTTCCAGTGCTCAATAACCCTTTCTGTAAAGAAGTTCTTCCTGAGACCCAACCTAAATCTCCCCTGGCGCAACTTGAGGCCATTTCCCCTCGTCCTGTCACCTGTCACCAATGAGAAGAG